AGCCGGTAGCAGGTGGAGGTCTTTCGGTCGGTTGGGTTTGAGAAGGCTGAGGTGGACGATAGCGACCTGACCTTGGCCTGGCGCGGGGCCCACATTTTACGAGGCGTGAGACAATGGGCGAAGAGTGGGGTCACGTTGCCAGCTTGGTCTTTGCATGCGTTTGCGTTCGATCGCTGCCCCCCTACTATGGGGCCCACGTTATTGGATCAAAATTCCACGATATATATTCATCTTCGAGAAATCAACAAAACATGAAAACAAACGAAGAAAGCCTTCTGAGTAGGGGTGCATTCGGTCCGGATACGGCTCGGATATGATGCTTATCATATCCATATCCGCTTACCCATCTCGGATACGGATACGGATACGGATACGGATACGGATATACCTCGGTAAGAAAAACTTATAACTATATCCGCTAAAATCGGATACGGTTACTGATATACATGCGGATATATAAGCGGATATGCATGCGGATACAAAACAGATATGAGAAAAGTAGATAGTATTGAGAAAAACATAGTTCATGTGATACAAAAAAGTTCGTTAATATATCCATTATAACTAAATAGTTAAGATTAGTCATCTTGATCATCAAAATTAACCACAAATCCATAATCTAAGAATCGAAACTATCGTAAGAGTATGACTAATATGTATTCGGATATTTCGGATACGGATACGGATATTTCACTACAAAACCATATCCATAATCATATCCTATCGGTTATAGATTTGAGTAACCATATTCGTATCCTAACGGATATGGTTACGGATATTTCATCGGATACGGATACGGTTTAGCACCCCTACTTCTGAGAGTTCTTTTCAGCGTCGTTTCTTGAAGAATTTTTTTTTTCGAAAATGGGTTTCTTAGAATTAAATGTCTTTCACCATCCATCTTGATATCACAAATAAAAAGCTGTATAGGAAAAGAAATAAAGGGAAACTTTATAGGAAAATTTCCTATAATGTAAAATTTTCTTTTCTTTTTTGGCAACCTAACTTGACTGATTACGCAACAAGTTGATGCGTGCTATTTTTTGTTAAATTATTCTTAAAATCAATACCTAACGGAAATATGTATCAAATGATCAATAGATGGTCTCAATAGTTTTGATTTAAATGTATTTAGTCTACTTTTCTAAGACCATCTCCAATCGGGCGTTATTTTGCCGCAAAAAGGAGAAATGCCGCTGATGACGAGCTCCAACCAGACGCCAAATCCCGCTGCATTTTAGCGGTGATGAACAACGCGACGCCATATTTGGCGTCGCACTGTTCATCACCCAATTACTGTTTGTTTTTATTTTTTTATTTTTCTTTTTTTTTATTTTACCTTATACTTTTATGTATTTACAATTTGACCCTAATTATTTTATTAAATGTATAAAACAACTCCAATAATATTTAAATTTTATAATTTTACCCCAATTGTATAATTTGGACAAAATAAATTATTTTTAAAAATTAAAAACAATGCTAAAATTTAAAAGACATTATTATTAATTATAATATTAAAATCTAGATATTAAGTAAAGTCCCATGAAATATAAAGAGCAATCCTAATACATAATTCAAATATAAATTACATATCTGAAATACATAACATATAAAAACTGACACGCATAATATAAAACTTCATTAAAATAAAACATAAAATACAAACTAAACATGGAACATTTCCTGAGATGGACAAGCAACTCTCAATAATCTGGTAGATCGGGGCCAGAGTGTCCAATATCATTGAAATAATTGCCAAAATTAGAAGCAGACCCTTGTTCTTGTTGATTTCTTTTTTGTATTATTTTAATCTGTTGAGCTCGAACGTACTCACGCACGTTTGGATCAGCAATGGAATTCAAATCTTTCATTATAATTTTTCATTCATCTCTATCTTTTTTCATGGCTATCTTTTCTCGTTCGATATCAAACGCTACTTGCCTGTCCAAGCTCGCCTTGTCTAACCTGTCTATAAGTCGATTGTTGGAGGTCTCGATGGAGTCCACTACACTTGACTCATGATCATCATTTTTCCTTTTCAATTTAGCTTTTTTTACCTCAATAGGTCGTTCAGATGGAGTAAATGATGATAGTCCAGGAGATGTTGATATAGGAGATTCCGGAGTGGGATTATCTGATTGTGACGAATCGAAGTTCACACTTTGGGATTGTCTTCGACTAACTTGTCTTGCTGTGGGGACATCATCTTTGAATTTTTCGAAATTTTTAACCATATTCCAGACATGATCAAATTTGAAACCTTTTTTGTACTTTGGTTCTTGCATAAATAACATCTTTGCTCGAACTAACTGCAAATTATAGTGAACATCAAGTTATGTATTTCAACAATAATAATAAAATTCAGACGATAATTAATAGAATACTTACAATATCTTCATCTGAAGCACCACTTGGATTCAGATTCTCTACTTGTCTCAAGCACGCATTCAATTTCCTTACTTCATTACTTATGATTTCCATTCGAGAACGAATTGATCGGCTCGTACGCATCTCAAAATGCTGATCTCGAAGTTCATTGTATTTGTCCTCCACACGAGACCAAAATGCATCTCGAGACTGGTTTCTACCGATAATAGGGTCTTGAGAAATATCCAAGAATACTTGACAAAGGAGCACATCTTCAGTAACCGTGTATCCAGTTGATCGAACATACATTTTTTTTGTAAAAAGTGGTTGGTTTGGAGATCAGAAATACTTTGAAGAAATACTTCGAATTGGGTGGTTTGAAGAAGAATTCGTGAATGTTATTTATAGCCAATCCAAATTTATTTTTTTTTGTTTGAAATTGAATTTGAATTTGAATTTGTCGGTGGCCAACATTTGAAATTGAATCATTTTGTACAAACTGATCAGCTTTACACATTATCCAACGTTGTCGGTGGGAATCAAATTTTGAAATCAGGTCAGCTTTACACATTATCCAACGTTGTCGGTGGGAATCAATTTTTGAAATTGTGGTCGCTTTACACATTATCCAACGTTGTCGGTGGGAATCAAAATTTAAAATTAGGTCAGCTTTACACATTATCCAACGTTGTCGGTGGGAATCAAAATTTAAAATTAGGTCAGCTTTAATACACAGCTCAGCTTTTCTTGAATTGTGTGAAAGCTTTGTACGAGTGGGAATCATTTTTTGAAATCAGGTCAGCTTTACACATTGTCCAACGTATACAGCTAAGCAAATTTGAATTTTGTGACAAATTGATAACAGCTGGAAAGCATTTCCTAAAATCAGCTCAACTTTACACATTGTTCAATGTATACAGCTAAGCAAAGTTTTATAAATAGCATACTAGATTAGGTACATCCACACAATTACTCGTTGTTGTGTTAAAATTATTATTCTCCATTTCTGCATACTTCAGTCATTCTTTTCTTACTTCAAAAATGAATTTAGATGTTGGAGGTCCATCATACTTATCATCATCTTCATCTTCGGATGATGATAATTTTCTGTCCAATATCATTGCAGAGATTGATAAAACCGAAGAAGTAATTTGTGAGTACATCAACAACAACATGATCCTCGTTAACAATTTACGTCAACAAAACTATCAACCGATCCATGGTGGCTCGATTCCCGGTCATGCAGTGATCAACCGCGATCGAGAAAATGCGCATCAGAATTTGGTCATAGATTACTTTGCCGATAATCCACGTTTTGGAGAAGATATGTTTCGTCGTCGATATCGGATGTCAAGAAGTTTGTTCCTTCGTATTGTTGATGCAGTGAAAGATCATGACTATTACTTCCAACAACGAAGTGATGGACTTGGTAGAATGGGATTATCACCGTTACAGAAAGTAACAGCTGTTTTTCGCATGTTGGCATACGGTCTACCAGCTGATGCTACGGACGAATACGTTAAAATAGGTGAGTCAACAGCAATTGAAAGTATGACAAAATTTTGTCGTGCTATGGTGGAAATATTCGCAGAGCGGTATCTACGAACACCTAACGCTAACGATATTGCTAGGCTACTCTATATTGGAAAAAAAACGTGGTTTTCCAGGAATGTTAGGAAGTCTTGATTGTATGCATTGGAAATGGAAAAATTGTCCAACAGCATGGTCTGGGCAATACACAGGACGTAGTGGGTCACCAACTATTATCCTCGAAGCTGTGGCAGATTATGATCTTTGGATATGGCACGCATATTTTGGTATGCCAGGCACCAATAATGATATCAATGTGCTGGAGTCATCTAATCTTTTCTCTAACCTAGCTCAAGGTATTGCTCCTCCCGCTCACTATGTTATTCAAGGAAAAGAGTATAATATGGGTTATTATTTAGCTGATGGTATATATCCGAAATGGGCTACTATTGTACAAACAATCCAACAGCCACAAGGTAGGAAGAAAAAATATTTTGCCATGAAACAGGAAGCATGTAGAAAAGATGTAGAACGTGCGTTCGGAGTTCTCCAATCACGATTTGCAATCGTGGCAGGATCAGCACGTTTTTGGAAAAAACATGTATTACATGACATAATGACTGCATGCATTATTATGCACAATATGATAATCGAGGATGAACGTGATCTTTATGCACCAATTCAAGAAGTGAGGGAAGCACCAACACCAGAAGTTGATATGGTAGCAGATGAAACTACAAGATTTACTCAATTTATTGCACGTTACGGAAAAATCAAGGATAAAGATGCCCATATTGCGCTTCGTAATGCATTGATAGATCATCTATGGGAGGAATACACTAATTCAGATAGTTAAGTGCATACTAAATTTGTAATTTTTACATTGTTGTTTTAATGTTTAATTATTTTCTTATATTTTATTTTCTGTTGTGTTCTTGAATGTAATATTTTGGCAATATCAATAATAAAAATATAATATTTTAGCAATCAAGTTATTTTAATTAATAAAATAATATTTTATTGTTTTATTAGTTTAATTTTTAAATAATAAATCATTTTGTTTGGAAAATATGTGAAAAAATAAAATTTGATATGTGGGGTTAATTGTTGAAATAGTTAAAAATATAGGGAATAAAAAATAATCATATAAAAGTAGATAAAAAGAAAGATACTGAGAATATTCTTTTTTGGTGCAAAAAATGGTGCAGTGGGTTGGAGATGAATTACTGTTAGATGTGACTTTTGCACCATTTTGGTGCAAAATTTGCACCATTTTGGTGCGATGGGTTGGAGATGCCCTAAGGTTTTTAATGTATTGGTTACTCATAAGTACATAGCAGTCTAAAAATATGTTCTTGAAAAGACGTTATTTTGAAGAGTCTTTTCAAGTCTTTTATATCCAATCAGGAAAAGTCGGATTTAAGAAGAAATAGAAGGGTAGATTTAAAAACTTTGAGAGTCTAGAGAATGAAAGAAATTTTATTAAAAAAATTATTGTTTCTAATAGCGAAAAAGAAAAAGATCTTATTGTTAAAAAGGCCAAGTTAAAATGCCTAAATGAGGTCGGGGTTTAAATGAATATCATATTGAAAAATGCGATCAAATTTGAATATCAATCTAGTACCTAATTAAGCCAATTCGTATATCAACAACATTATTCATAATTTTCTTGAGAATAAACATTACCTTTCTTTCTTCATTTTAGCTTCCTAGCTAATTAATCATCTGTGCAACGTCAGTTCTTGCATTGGATCCAACAACATGCAACTTGCTTTTTCAGTCATACATTCCTTCTCATCTTTTAATATAAAGTCAAGGGTCGTTCTTTGGAAAAGGGTACTAACGGTATTAAAAGGATAGCTTTCCATTTAACTTTGAATCTTATCTCCAAAAAAAAAAAAACCCTAAGAATCATGTAGAGAATTTCATGAATTCATGCCTTTAGGACACGAGACAAAATTTAGAGTGCATATGCTCTTTTTCCACCTCTTCATCCTCAGGTCATTTTCTAAGCTTTGATTCTCAAAGCGAGAAGGGCCCCGCATTCTATAAAAAAAAAGTATATAACGAAGTTAAGCAGAGTCACACAACTAAAGGGCTGTTTGGTTGTATGTTTTTACTGTGTAAAAGGATGGAAAATGTAAAAAAATGGGTCCCAATGTCAGCTTTCATCACTTTACATTGTTTGTTTAAATTCTCTTTTACATAAAAAGCTTATCCCTTTTGATGAGGTGTCACCGAAAGCAAAATCACCAAAATTAGGAGTGATTTTGTTGGAAAGCTGACACAATGTCATAAATGTGTCCAAAATAATAATAAAAAAGTCAAAACCTTGTAGAAAGTGGTGAGTTAGATAACCACTTTTTATTTTGTGCCATAAATACTCTAGTTTACATTATACTATCCAAACAATGTAATACTATTATTTTAGGATTCACAAAGATTCTTAACCAAACAATGTAAACACTCGAATGGAAAGTGACGAGGTGGATAACCACTTTCTATTTTGTGTCATATAAATACTCTAGTGTCCTCAAGTCATCCAAACAGCCCCTAAGATTTGCTTTGATACGTATTTTTATGGGTTTAATTTCACACAACCCGTAAACTTTGTGGGACTGTTGTACGTAGCCTCCCTAAACTTTGTTTATCTCATACAACCCCTTGAATTTCAGGGTGTCTAACAAACCTCCTTAAACTTTAACAGTATCTCATCCGACCCCCTCCTTGTAATTTGCATCCCCAAAGCTTATTTCTTTTTTTCCGGTGGGTTCTTTGTTGTTGTTGGGTGGGGTTGTTGTTTCCTTAGCCACAAATTATTTGACATGCGTTTATTTCTCAGGAGAGTGCATAGCAAGCCCCTGCAAAGATGCGTCTAGCTGACTTTATGATACCTGCAAATAATGGACCACAAAAGTGGGGAAAACTCACATTTAGACCTTTGTTTTTTACTGCTAGTTAGTTTGTGCTAAAGATATCAACCCCCTTCAAATTCTTTTTTTTTGTTAATTGGTAGCTAAACAAATTTTGCAGGGAAGCGACTTCTACGTCTCTCCTCGAGTTTTGCTTCCCTTTCTTCATTAAATTCCATCTTGTTCTATATATGACTTCTTGGGTTAAATTTTAGAAAACCCCCCTTTAACTTGGGGATTGTCTTAGACAAACCTCTCAATTATTTTAATTTTAGTGAACCCCCAAAGTTTAGGGTGTTGTATATACCCCCCTCAACTTTAAAATTTTGAGAAAATCCCCTTGACCTTATGTCACTAACCGCTCTAGCTAATACCGCTAAGTCAAACATGTCACGTGAATAGCACGCGACTTAAAAAGACCAAGACACCCTGCAACCATAAAAATATTAGTGTAGATTTTTGCAGAACAAGAGAAAAGAAGAAGAGAGAGAGAAATGGGTACTGCAGTTCACGAGGGTCTTGTTTTTCCGATTCAAAGTTTTATTGTAACTAGTTTTTGTTGGGAATATAAGTTGTTTAGACAATAATTAGCATGAAATACAGTTAATAATTTTTAGATAATAATGAATTAATATTGTAACACAGATGTAAGAAATAATTCAAACGAAAAGAAATGAGGGTTAGAAATACGGCCTGATGGTCGAGGCGTGCAAGCACTGTCCCAAGAATCTAATTGCGCCCTCTCGTACAGGGCTACATGGCAAAAGTTCCTGGAGATACAACGACCCTCGGTCAGGCGACCTCCTTCTCGTCGGCACGAGCTTCAAGAAGGCTTTGCGAACTCTTCTAGACTTTCAGGGAACCAGC